TGCCCAGTGCTGAGAGGGTGGACAGAAGGATCTGATGATTCACAGTGTCGAAGGCAGCAGACAGATCCAGGAGGATAAGGACCGATGAGTTGGAAGCGGCTTTAGCGATCCGCAAATCTTCTGAGACTGACAGCAATGCAGTCTCGGTTGAATGCCCTTTCTTGAAGCCTGATTGGTTGACATCCAGCTGATTGTTCAGGGACAGGAAAGATGATACTTGGTTGAAAGCAACTCGTTCCAAGTGTTTTTGCAATGAATGGTAGGAGAGAGACAGGTCTGTAGTTTACTAAGAGTGATGTGTTCAGTGTTGATTTTTTAAGCAGTGGAGTTACTCGAGCCTGCTTAAATGCTGTAGGGAAAATGCCAGTGTGGAGGGATGAGTTCATGATGTGTGTGAGAGCTGGAAGAAGTGTAGGACAGATTGCTTGGAGCAGATGTGATGGGATGGGATCTAGAGGGCAGTCGGTAGGATGAGTGCAGAGGAGAAGCTTAGATACTTCTTCCTTGGTTAGTGGTGTGAAGGAGAAGAGGGGGTTGTTGGCTGGGGGAGAGGGTTGTCTGGGTTCCTGTGTGCGTGACGCTGAGAACTGACTGCTGATAGTTGTAGTTTTGTTAGTGAAGAAGTTAGCAAAATCATCAGCAGTTAGTGAGGAGGTGGGTGGTGGTGGACAGAGGAGAGCGTTGAATGTCTTGAACAGTGAACGTGTGTTAGAAGTGCTCTTGATCTTGTTGTGGATGTATGAAGATTTCGCAGCATGAACTTCAGTGGAAAAGGCAGAGAGCAGAGGTTGGTACCTACTGAAGTCAGATTTGCGCCATTTCCTCTCCACTGCCCTGAGTTCAGTCCGGTGTTCACAAAGAACCTCAGATAACCAGGGGTTGGAGGTAGTAACGTGTGCTGGCCAGGTGGAGAGAGGGCAGATGTTGTCTAAAGAAGAAGTCAGAATGGAGCATTTATTCACATCCAGAGATGACAAATGCAGGGGTTAGGGAAGAGAAGACAACACAGCAGAGGAGAAATGGGACGGAGAAAGTGTGCGCAGGTTTTCGCCTGAACGTAACTGGTAGTGGAGTTGGTGGTGCGTGGGTAGTAAGTTGTAGATTGAAGGTAATGAGAAAATGATCTAAGAAGTTGATAGGTTTCACTAGGATATTGTCTGTGATGTAATTGCGTGTGTCGACCAGGTCTAGTTGGTGGCCTGACTTGTGGGTACCTGTGGTGATGAGCCGTTTGAGATCAAACGAGGCTAGGAGAGAGATGAGGTCTGCAGCATACGGCTTCTCTAGATGAATGTTGAAGTCGCCAAAGACTACAAGTGGGATGTCATCCTCAGGAAGTAATGATCAAACAAACACCCATCATATGAAGATGCCCAGGAAGTCTTTAAAAGATGTTACAGAAGTTAGATCTTTTTAACGGATTTGTGGATCACTATAGAAATAGGGAAAGAATTTAGTTTAACATTTTTGGAGGAAAATGGAGCTCCTCAAGGAAGTATAGTGAGTCCAGATCCGTTTTTAATTATGATGAATGAAGTGTTTAGTAAAGTTGAAAGATCTATAAGTGCTGCATTATTTGCAGATGACGTGTTGTGTGGGAAAAGGGAAGAAATATAGAATATATACAATGAGGAAAATACTAGAGGAATTTTAGGTTTTCAGTGGCAAAGACCAAAGTCTGTTTTTCACAGAGGAAAATTCACAGACAGATTCAACTTAAACTAAGACATTTGGAGAGAGTGGACTGTTTCAAGTATCAAAAAAACTTAATTTAAGTAGGTTTCTGATGAAAACATATCAATGTGATATGATGAAGATGATCATGTGACCTTCTGTTGATCTGCTGTAATACTGATGATCTCCAGCAGAGAGAGACACTGATCTGTGTGAGAAACTGAAGTGTGTGTCTTTAGATTCATGATTCAGATATGAAACATGTAAACTTTGAAGGAGTAGTTCACTTTAAAAAAAACTTTTGCTGATAATTTACGCACCCCCATGTCATCCAAGATGTCCATGTCTTTCTTTCTTCAGTTGAAAAGAAATTAAGGATTTTGATGAAAACATTCTAGGATTTTTCGCCATATAATGGACTTCAATGGGAACCAAACGGTTCAAGATCCAAAAGACAGTTTCAGTGCAAACTGCAAACTGTTCAAAGGGCTTTAAATGATTCCAGACGATGAATAAGGGTCTTATCAAGCGAAACGATCGCTCATTAAATAAATAAATAGCAAAGTTTAAGTTTTATAAGCTAAAACGCTCGCCTTGCTCTGTTCTGTGATGCGCATTCGAGACTCTCCTGTTCGAACTCGTTTATCAAAATGAACAAATCTTTTTTCATGTCATTTGGTTGATTTAACAAACGAAATGAACGAATTGACTCGGAAAAAGATTTGTTCATTTTGATAAAAAGTTCGAACAGGAGAGTCACGAATGCGCATCACAGAACAGAGCAAGGCGAGCATTTGAGCTTATAAAACTTAAACTTTTTTATTTATTTTTTAAATAACCGATCGTTTCGCTTGATAAGACCCTTATTCATCGTCTGGTGTCGTTTAAAGCCCTTTGAACAGTTTGCAGTTTGCACTGAAACTCTCATTTGGACCTTGAACCGTTTGGTTCCCATTGAAGTCCATTATAGGAGAAAATCCTGGAATGTTTTCATCAAAAACCTTAATTTCTTTTCGACTGAAGAAAAAATGACATGGACATCTTGGATGACACGGGGGTGAGTAAATTATCAGCAAAAGTTTTTTTAAAAAGTGAACTACTCCTTTAATATAACGGCAGTTTTTTGAGAGTTTGTTCAAGAAATGAAGTGTAATGATGAACAGTTGGAGTATTTTTAAAAGGCCAAAAGTGCTAATTGTTAAGTTTTCAAAACAGAATATGATTTTCAACTATATTTTTGCTTTATATTTACTGAGGGGTGGCAGTGGCTCGGTGGTTCATGTACAACCCGTAGGGTTGGTGGTTCAATCCCCAGTTCCAACTGACCAAGTGTCAAGGTGTCCATGAACAAGACACCTAACCCCTGCTGTGTGTGTGTTTGTGTGTGTGTGAGCCTTGCATGGCTGACACCGCCGTCAGTGTGTGAATGTGAGGTAATATGTAAAGCACTTTGGTGGCCATTGGGTCTGTGATAGTGCTAGATAAATGCAGTCCATTTACAATTACTGTACATCATGTTTTCAGCAGATTCACGTTTGGAAAGCTCATGTCTGATCTTTAATGCCAGATCTCTCATTCAGTCCAGACTCCAGATACATTTCTGTCTTTTCCTGATTTACATCATTTGAAAGATGAAGAACAATGTGAAAATAAACAAAGATTCAATTTAAGTGAATATATGGAAACTCTCCTGTAGGCGAGTTGAACACAAGTGCAGTTTTATTGAATCCAAAAATGAACAGATACAAAGTAAAGATCTGACTTTATTTCGAAATATGAACTCATGAACATAAACAAATTAAAACATGAACATATGAAAACATGGGGCCCGTTCTTCGTACGTTGCTTAAAATATCCGAGATCAAACGAGACGATCCATAATATCATCGTGCTCAGTCTTGTCTTGACTGGAAACAAATTCTAATTCTTGCAATATTTTCCAGGTGATAGTATGCTGATTTAGTTATTGCTTTGACATGACTATTGAAACTAAGGTCTGACTCTAGAGACACACCAAGATTCCTGACTTTAGTTGTTAGACCCCTAGCGTCAAGATATGCATTCACCTTGAGAACTACATCTTTGTTTCCAAACGAAATGACTTCAGTCTTGTCTTTGTTTAACTGCAGAGAGTTTTGACACATCCAACTGTTGACATCATCAATGCATTGGCACAGGGAGTCAATGGGGCTGTAGTCATTAGGCGATAGGGCTAAGTAGAGCTGTGTGTCATCTGGAAAGGCAAGCTGTGGTAAGAGATGCGGTTCTTTCTCATTATTTGGCTCATCGGGAGCATGAACAGGTTGAATAGGAGTGGCGCAAGAATTGAGCCCTGAGGGACTCCGCAAGTCAAGTCTCCGCAAGTCCACTCAGTCTCCTATTCTCACAATATAACCTCTCCCAACCAATTATGACCTGAACCATTTTAGGACTATCCCAGAAAGCCCCACCCAGTTTTCCAGCCTGTCAAGAAGTATGTTGTGATCGACAGTGTCAAATAGGTCGAGAATAATAATCGGATAATTTGCCTGTATCAGTATTTAAAGAACCCACTGCAACTACACCTGCAGGTGTCGCTGTTGGGCAGTGTTGCTTTAGAAAAACGAGTCACTTTTACACCTTTTAATGTCACATTTTTGTAATATTTGCATTGTTTTAGTTATGTATTTTGGATTTTTTTGTCACTTTTATTCACAGTGGGGAAAAATGAGCACATTCATGGCAATTCAAGAAGAGGGATAAACAGACAAACCATAAACAGAATTTCAGCAAGGCATTATTTGGTCGATCGATATATTTACAAAGGAAAAATATACACCATGCACACCATGTTTGGTGAAAAACTGAATTGAATTCAAGCTAATTTCAATTCTCACCGCCTAAAATAATGATAAAATTTGCTCCGTCTAAAGAATCTAATTTTGCACAAATAAAAAGAAGAAGAATATAACCCTCATACAAAAGCACATAATGATTAGAAATAATGAAACAGTGAAAAAAGTATTGCAAAACCAAGTCATCTTCCCTGTAATGTCCAAAACATGGCTTCAAGTGTTCTTTTAAAGTATATAAATCAGTACAGTACATAAATTGCTGCTTTGGTACGAGATGAACCGGCCATCTCTGTGAAAAATCAATGTCACTAAATGTGTGTGTGTGTGCATATAGTTAGTATCCATTATATTTATATAAAAAAACTCATAAAAAATGTGTAGGCTTGGAAAAGTCATGGAAATGTCACAAACATGTCAGTTTGATGCTGGTTTTGACAGAGACCGAATTTAAGCTCTTGCATATTCTTGTTCTCTCCCTTTTTCCAGTAGCGATGCATTATATTTCTCCTCTCGAGGTGTGCTGCTAATGCAACAGTTGCATAGGTCGAGTCTTATCATATGTTGGTGTCTTCTGCAAGCACAGCGTATCCACACACACACACACACACACACTCAGGCTGAGCGATCAGCTGTCTGGGCGACGATAGCTCAACAGCTGTTCATTTCCGACTGAGGACGGAGCGCATTCTTCTGTGTTTAATTAACAGGATCTTGTGAGTCTGTGATGGGAGGTAGAGCTTCATAAGCAGGTAAATCTGTCCCAGCCTCACAGACCGTCACGGGACGCTCCTCGAGAGACAGGATGTCAATGGACTGGACGGACTGACGAATGCTTTCCTCGTATGTGGGAGGCAGCTGTGGTAAAAAACAGAGATAAAGCATGACTTAAAGGTCCCATTCTTCATGATCCCATGTTTCAAACTTTAGTCAGTGTGTAATGTTTTTGTTAGAGTATAAATAACATCTGTAAAATTATAAAGCTCAAAGTTCAATGCAAAGCGAGATATTTTATTTAAAGGGATACTCCACTTTTTCTTTTTTTTTTTTCTTTTTGGAAATAGGCTCATTTTACAACTCCCTCAGAGTTAAACAGTTGTGTTTTACCGTTTTCTAATCAATTCAGACGATTTTTTGATATTTAGAAGAATATCAGTAACCAGACAGTTTCTGGTCTCATTGACTTCCATAGTAGGAAAAAATATACTAAAGAAATCAATGAGACCAGAAACGGTCATATTCTTCTAATATCAAAACATCGGCTGAATACATTCGAAAACGGTAAAACTCAACTGTTTAACTCTGGGGGAGTGGTAAAATGAGCCTATTTCCAAAAAAAGTGGAGTATCCCTTTAACAGAAGTAGCCTATCGAACGGCCCGTTTGGACTACATCCCTCTACTTCCTTCTTTAATGACGTCGGTAGAACAGTTTTTTGACTAACGTCCGCCCACAGGAATGCTCCCTCAACTTGTGCACTTCTTATAACTTACTGTGTTTACTCAGCTCTACGGTGATTTTCTGAAGTAAAACTGAGGTTTCATCTTTTGTGTGATGTACAATAAACTTTATTAAACTTATCAGTATATGTTTGATCATCATTCGGACCTGGTCCGAAACAGCACACTTGTAGGCCATTAAAGGATAATTTCGGTATTTAACACCTTGAGTCTATTTTGTAGTTTGTTTTGAATGAAATAGAGTGGTGGACTTAGAAATTTTGACAATGGGTCCTGTCTTGCCTTTTTGACTTTTTTAGAATTGCCTGTGACAGCTTTAGACTGGGTGTCTATGGGCATGCACAAACATGTCCTTAAAACAACCCTTAACGTTCATTTTTAAAACTGTGCAACTCACCGAGTGGTTGGTGGTGTTCGTTGATGATTAAAAACCAATATATCGGCGCAGTGTATGCTTTCAATCCGTGTTGTTTGCTATTGTGGAACTATTTATTCAGACACCTCACAGCCGCGTATAAACTTCCGCTCGATATTTGAGTCTGAAGCGTTAGCACACTCCCGACCACTTGATGGCGACAACCAGGACGCTGTACAGAACACGGTGTCAAGCGCACCGTATAAAAAGTCCGGGAGCACAGTTGCTCTGCTCACGCTAGCCTTCTGAGAGACGGAGAACCGAGCGAAAAGACTACAACCAAATGTAAACAGACCCCTTTCCGTTTCCGGTAGCTAGCGCAGTAATATCAACGAGCACTGAGTCCTCCAGCAGACATCAATGCGATTTTAAAAATGACAAATAAAACACGACAGAAACGGTATTTCGCTACGCTACTTGTTTCAGAACATCAACAAACACCACCAACCACTCGGTGAGTTGCACAGTTTTGAAAATGAACGTTAAGGGTTGTTTTAAGGACATGTTTGTGCATGCCCATAGACACCCAGTCTAAAGCTGTAACAGGCGATTCTAAAAAAAGTCAAAAAGTCGAGACAGGACCCAATTGTCAAAATGTCTAAGTTCACCACTCTATTTCATTCAAAACAAACTACAAAATAAACTCAAGGTGTTAAATACCGGAATTATCCTTTAATAAATAATGGATACATACAAGCAGATGACAAATACGTTATAATAACCGTAATTAAACTACTAAACTATACCTGTTCCATCTCTATACAGCACTCTGACTCTGTAGGCATTATTGTCTGACCCAAAATGAACACGGTTACTGAGAGTTTCTGATATTATCATCATTCCGTGAGATGAAATTGTCTTGAGAGACTGAGCGCGAGCTCATGAAGCTCCGCCCCCTGTGCCGGCAGCAGCAGCTTATTTGCATTTAAAGGGCACACACTCAAACAGCGTGTTTTTCTGAGCCCCAAAAAAATGACAATTTAAACATGCTGTAAAAAATGATCTGTTGGGTATTTTGAGCTGAAACTTCACATACACATTCTGGGGACATCAGAGACTTATTTTACATCTTGTGAAAAGGGGCATAATACGGGACCTTTAAACATATGTTTGACACAGATAAATGCTGAAAAAAACAAAAGTACAAAACGTGGAAGGTGCTTCATGAATTACATTTAGGATAAAGAAATTAATGTTGAAATAACGATTGATAATAAAGAATAATTACTTTTTGAAAAAAAAAAAAACAACAACAGTTGAGGGTTAAAAATCGAACCCTATTTCACAAATGGTCAAAACGAGGGAGAAAGCGCAGTCGGTGGAGATCAACTGCGCTCGACTGCAGCAGAATCCGACACGGCCGCCTTGTGGTCACGACTAAAATGACGTTTTGGAATTAGCAACGGAGGCATGGGATTAGATGTGTAAGAAATTAGTCCAACATACAAGAGCGTTTTAGTGACAAAAAAAATGACAAACGTCTTGAAATGCATCATCTGAACAATGTTTTGAGGTGTGGTAACTGTAGTATAAGCGGAATAATTGACTTCAGGTCGTTGAATTATTCGAAAAATCGTCAATTATTCCTTACACATTCAATCGTTTCATAAATAATTGTAACCAAAGTTAGAAAGCATTATATTTGCACATTCTTGGTTACATCTGAAATTGTCTGTGTCTTGCTGTGTGTGTTTTCCTGCATTAAAGGTGTATCAATGTATTACGATTTACAGTACTCGTGAAATCACAGAATGCACGATACGGTGCTTTACAAAGCATAATTAATGCATTAAAAATACCTTTACGATGCATTATACATAAAAGCGTTCCCGAAATATATTTTCTTATTATGTAATATTTCTGCAGCTTAGCAGGTCAGTGCTTTCCCGCAAGATAAAGACCTTTGCACTATGCTAATTCATAATACAGTGCTCAACATTTATTTAAACAAATTCAGCTATCTCTTTGAGCTCTGAGGCTTCCCTTTAGCCTCCTAAAAATAAACAGAGCTATTACAGGACAGACAAAACTGTGGCTTTTAGATGGAGAACAATCCCACTTAGCTCAGGAATATGGTGGTGAGAGATCAATCCACCCATTGAAACTTAGAGTGAAGGAGAGGACAGACGGACAAAGAGCTGTTCTCTCTGCCAATGTGTACTTTTCAAGACAGTTATTGTGTTTGATGTGCATCAATTTCCCTTAGTGTGTGTACTCATGCGTTTCCTGGCACAAAGTCAGCATGCATGCGTCACGCCATCAGCGCATGTGTGTGCGGCAGTGAATGGCCATAAGCACGACGCATGATCATGTTACGGAGCAGAAAATTGAGGGTCATTCATATTGAAAACCTGTTTTCTTAATTCAGTTAGACTACACCTGCCGCAGATAACCAGCTTACACTGCAGCCACACACTCCTAATAGACAAAACTGTCATAGCTGGCCTTCAATAAAGCAACTTCACGACTGTTTAGCTGCCAAACTAACGTGAATCTTTTCTTTTTCCCATTATCAAAAGTGTATATCCGAATGCGTATTTGTATACATTTGTAAAAGTATATATATATATATTAGATGCTATTAACTTTGATTTTACTAGTTAATTTCAAAGGTCCAGCGGTGTAACAGTTTCAAAAGGTCTATTTATCAAATTAATTTTCACAAGCGATCCACAAGGCTCAATAATGCAATTGTGCAGAATTGTTTACATTTTAAAGTCATTTGGTAAATTCATGACCAGTCATACTTGTGTAAAACTCAGGCTATGTTTACACGGAAACGATCTGAAGAGAAAACGCAAAAGTGGCGTTGCGTTATCATTTTTTTTTCTGCATTTAGACGGTGACGCAAAAGTGTGTGAAATTTGATGTAGTGTGCACTCCAGGTGGCTAGGTGGAGATGTGAAGCACTGCCACACAACAACAAGTCCGTGCGCCTGTGTACAACCGTCACTGTCTAGCAGACTTTTGCGTTTTTACCCGTGTGTCCATCAAAGCATTTTTCCACATGCCTGGTGTACGTTTTCAATTGTTTTCAATGGGAGCGACGCGTTTTTTAAACGCCATGAGCGTAACGAGGCACTGAGCGTTATTTTCACGCTGAACGCCGAGCGCCCAGCGCTTTTTACTGGTCGCCGTGAGTTGAAAAATGTTCAACTTTGGATAAAACGCAGCGCTCATCACTGTCACTTTTTACCCAGCCGTCCAATCACAGTGGATGAGGGGCGGGACTAAACCACACCAACCAACTGTCACAACATTCTTTCTGTACAACGACATCAACCAGCAGAGCTAACCGAACAAAATGGATGAAATTTTTTTTTTTAAACAAATGATCTTCGAAATCAGTTACAAGTAAACTGTGCTGCGTCTATTCTGTATCATAGCAACGAAACGTCACAACAGAAAAAACGTTGCGCTTCCAAAACGCTCTCAAAGCACGGCGTCTTCAGCAGATCGTCTGCCGTTTTCAGCTGGCTAAAAACGCTTTGGTGGACACACGGCCTTAGACGAGAACGCGACGGTGGAGCGTTTTTAAGATTTCCACTCTGGAGGGTGGTTTCACTTTTTAGCGTTTTTAAGCCCCAACGAAAGGCACATCCGATAAAATATTTTAAGTTTTCACCCGCGAGCGTTCTCGTGTAAACATGTGTCCACCAAAGCATTTTTCCACGCGCCTGGTGTACGTTTTCAATTGTTTTCAATGGGAGTGCCGCGTTTTTTAAACGCCATGAGTGTAATGAGGCACTGAGCGTTATTTTCACGCTGAACGCCGAGCGCCCAGCGTTTTTTACTGGTCGCCGTGAGTTGAAAAATGTTCAACTTTGGATAAAACGCAGCGCTCATCACTGTCACTTTTTACCCAGCCGTCCAATCACAGTGGATGAGGGGCGGGACTAAACCACACCGACCAACTGTCACAACATTCTTTCTGTACAACGACATCAACCAGCAGAGCTAACCCAACAAAAATGGATGAAAAATACATTTTTAGTGTGAAACAAATTATCTGCGAAATCAGTTTAAAGTAAACTGTGCTGTGGATATTCTGTATTTTAGCAACGAAACGTCTCAACGGAAAAAACGCTGCGCTGCCAAAACACTCTCAAGCGCCCAAAGCACGGCGTCTTCAGCAGAGCGTCTGCCGTTTTCAACTGGCTAAAAACGTTTTGGTGAACGCACGGCCTTAGTTTGTAAATCATTTGTTTTCTTTTAGTTTCTAGAAAGTTCTCATTTGTCGTCATGGCATTGTTTGATTTGAACCACCTGCGTCTTGTTTAGCTCTTTAATTACTCTGTATATACTCCTCAGTTTGAGTCATTCTTGGTCCGTTCGTTTATTTTTAGTTGGTTGCGTTTCTGCGTGTTTATTGTTAAATAAAGTGACTGTTGTGTATAGCCTAGGTCCTGCCTCGGCAACTCATTGGCTTTCTTTAAACAGATTTTCTTGAAAATGTTATGATTATGGGGAAAAAAAACTATTGGATTCTATCCATACAAATTATATAAACAAATTTGCTTTTATAACGTTTAAATAAAAATGCTTTGCTTTTTACTTAGAGGATAGTTATAGCATTTTATGGTCAACCGGTCATTTGTAGATGAATCTGATCAGTGTTGGGGAAAGTTACTTTTAAATGTAATGCGCTATAATATTGCTTTACTCCCTGAAAAAAGTAACTACTCGTTTACCGTTCATAGAAAAAGAGAGCAAAAGTTATATTTTTGGTAAATGTAAAGGCCATTTCACACCAAAAATGAAATGAATAAGATTCAGGGTAAAGGAAATGTGAATTTAGGCCTGTACGGTAGATACAATACATGTGGAAAGCAAAGTAACTTTCCAAACTTGTTTGTAAAAAGTGTCTTAGATAATTTGGTGTAAATGTAAAAGTAATGCATTAAAAGTAATACTGTCAGGTTACTTGTAGTGTCCCACCCCAACAATGAATGTGATTTCTATGGCTAAATGAGTCACCTCTGTCACAATAGGTCCGCCGAGGCCGAAGCGGTCGGCTATCATCATGTGGATCTGCCGTTGTCTGTCTTTCTTGCGCACACTCTCGTACGAGGGCAGACGAGGATGAGGATGCTCCGGTGACGACAGGTAGTAGCTGCTGGGCACGCCGATGAGGAACACAGAACCCGACTGACAGCCACAAGCAGAAACAAAACTGATGAAATGAGGAACTGACGACAAGCTTTCACCCTTTACCAATGTTATTCCGTCAAGACAATGACAACATACAATAAAACCGAATATCTTTCCATTCAGGAAAAGTATTTTGGCTGCCTATTGGTCATACAGGTTTATAATGACATGATGGCAGAGGGTGAAATACAGTGTGTAAGGATGCGGGTTCTTTCATAGCGCTTACCTGTGGATTGACGTTATCGTGACCTGTGTCGTGTGTTTGCTCAAAATCAGATGAAGCGACTAGAGTTTGTCGACTGTTGTAGTACTGAGGAGGAGCTTCCTGTTCAACCAAGAAATGACAAGCCTCTGTTAATACACTGTAAAAACTAAATCCTGGCAGCTGTGGTTGTCAGAATAATCCTGAACAGAAATACAGTTAAAATGGTCAATTTTACAGTATAAACCTGTAATTTACAAACAAAAACCTTGCAATATAAATCGGTAAATCCATGACGCACATTATGGTGATCAGTGTTTGGTTTAGCTGGGCTCTTGACCATTAACTCTCTTAATTTTGTTTGGCTGTTGTATGTGACTTATAACAGCCAGATGAACAAATAGAAAAGGTGATCTGATGGTGTTGGTTGCGTTTTGACATAATCATTAATTGACCTGAATTGCTGAACTCATTGAGTTAAATTTACCTTAAGGATTTTAGAAGCATGGTCATTTTAGAACATACCATTTTTAGTCTTTTCAATGAAAAATGGTAAAAAAAATTAAATATATATATCTTAGCAATGGTGACAAAAAGTGCACCTCTGAACATTTGCTCAGTATTTTTTCATGCAGCTCAATTTTTGCTCAAATTTTTTTTTCAATTTCTTTTTTAATTTTTGCTCAAAATTTGCTTAATATTTTTTTCATGCATGATGAGAGCCATGAATTAGTTTTGATTGGTGGCACCAAGAATGCAATGCAACATGCTTTATAATTGTCACCATTGTTGAGATCCACAGGCTAATTATTGATGTCTGTGTGTCTTAAAAAATTGAATAGAAGAAAAAATTGTATAAGAGAAACTTTTGAGAAATAATTTTGAATACATGGTAAACATTAAAAATATGTTGCTGTACAAGGTCACTGCTGGTATAATTAATAAAGTAAACCTAACTCAGAAATTAGGCTTTACATGCAATCAGTGATTCAGGTCAAATGATTGTGAAATAATGATTATGTTAAAACACAAGCATCACCATCAGATCACCTTTTCTATGTTCATCTGGCTGTTGTAACTCATGCATAGCCAAACAAAATCTAAAGTTTATTAATTAAGGGTCAAGTGCCCAACTAAAACAAATACTGATCACCATAATGGTGACTTAAAAATTACGTTTTTCTCCTTCAGTGATTCTGCTTGTTATCATCAGGTGTCTTCAATAATGCTCAATCATCACTAAATTATTCACTTTAATATCTCATTAACTTTAAGCTTCAGCTTCAGTGTTCATTTAACACTCTGCTCAGAGTTTATATAATTCACACTTTAAAGTGTTAATTTAACAACTGGGGATTTTGCTGTGTTTAGTGTCACGTGATCCTTCAGAAATCCCTCTAATATGATGATTTGCTGCTCAAGAAACATTTATGGTTATAATCAATGTTGAAAACGGACGACTTCATAGTTTTAGCTTTATTGTCATTTCCGGAGTTCAACCCCCAGCATAATAGTTACAATGTTTTCATATTGATTGCGAGTCAAACTATCACAAATCTTGATTTAAAGTCTTACACCCCCTTGTCTTTGTCCTTCCGCAATGCCTCTCCTCCTCTTCCTACGTTCTGCAATGTTAGACCTCTGGATGGTCATAAATTACGCTGCTAAGGAGAAGACCACCAAGCAACTTCCTCCCCTCCCATCCAGCAGTAGATTAGGCAGGCGGACCCCGCGTGAGGCAGAGGAATTCCTCCAGCCCAGCCGGACACTCAGTGAATACCCCACAGCTAAATAGATGCCTTTGTGTCCCGGGACAATACAGTGTCTTACTGCGTCATCAGGGTGCCGAGTAACAATCCCAACACTGGCGTTTTAACGGTCTGCACCCTTGTTTCTGTGGCAGGTACTACTAAATGAGCGCACTCCCTTTTACAGGCCCATATGTCACCCGGACAAGTCAGTTAACAGTGTTACAAGTCATTAGTGCACTAGTTGGCCAAAATATGCAGAGAAGGGTTGGAAATGAACCAGGGCTTGAAGTAAATGCAAGCAAGTAAATGGCTGTTTTTATTTATTTATTTATTTATTTATTTATTTATTTATATCAGTTCATTTACATAATTTCACATCAAACATTGAAAGAAAAAAATACTGAATTATATTTTGGACGAAGAAAATGAAACCTGTTTTAAGAACATTAGGATGATATTTTCTTTACACTTACTTTGGGTGACAAATTTCTACCATTACTGTGTGGGGACATTTTAATTTGAGTGAGTTATTCACATTATTATTTTTTAGTAAGAACTGTAATACATTTGTATTACCATAAATACTTTAGCAATGAAATATTGTCAAAAAAACTTAATGTCAAATATCATTTCTTGTAAATTTGGGTACAAAACATGATACAGATGAGATTCACCCTTATGTAAAAATAAATAAATAAATAATTTATTTTGCAATAATAAATGGCTGACTGTACCAAAAAGTGCACGTTTTTCAAAGTTTTGCTTTAAAGTACATTTTAAATCATGTTTTAATAATTATTTTTATGTGTTGACCACCAAAGCAGGGTAACATACTTAAGTACTTGATTATAACTTTAACTGTGTTATTCAATAGTACATTTAAAGTATATTTTAATATATTTGTGTCAAAGACAACAGAAGAAATTATGAAATTACATTTGAAGATGTACTTAAGTCAAAAGCACTCAAATGTTCAGCTAATAGCACTTAATGTAAATTTAAATTAACATGCAAATACTGTGTGGGGACATTTTAATTTGAGTGAGTTATTCACATTATTATTTTTCCTTAAATACTGTAATGCGTTTTACAATACATTTGTATTACCATAAATACAAATACTTCACCAATGAAATATGGTTACCACGGCAAAAAATGTACACGTAAAAAAAAAGGCTTCGCTTACTTGATGTCAAATATAATTTCTTGTAAGTTTGGTTACAAAACATGATACAGATGATTCACCCTTAAAAAAAATTGGGTTTTATTTTGCAATAATAAATGGCTGACTACCAAAAAGTGCACGTTTTTCAAAGTTTTGCTTTAAAGTACATTTTAAATCATGTTTTAATAATTATTTTAATGTGTTGACCACCAAATCAAGTACTTGATTATAACTTTAACTGTAGTGTGTTATTCAATAGTACATTTAAAGTATATTTTAATATATTTGTGACAAAGACAACAGAAGAAATTATGAAATTACATATGAAGATGTACTTAAGTCAAAAGCACTTAATAGCACTTAATGTAAATTTAAATTAACATGCATTTAATAATATAAGTTCACACACTGATTTATATTCTTAAAAATGTACAAAAAAATAATAATTAAATAGACAACATGTGTTAAAAAATTGTTAGAAAAAAGTGCCGTTTTAAAGGTAAAAAAAAAGCCCCTGTCAATCAATTGCCAGTAGGCAAATATGGTCCCTTAATAGAGACCGGGCCCTAATCTGAGACACAGCTGATGTCTTGACTCAAGGCAAGAGCTCCTGACAGCTCTGACATCACTCACAGTGACGTATTTTGACCTTTCCCATCACCCCTCTTATTCGGGACACCGGGAGACACGTTTAGTAAATGTGAGGTCAGGGGTCACCTTCCCTCGCTGGTTTTCCCTCTCAAGAGTCCCCCAATAAGAGAGACATTCTTTTGTTTGCTCCTCTGATTCAGGCAGTGTGAAAAAGCAAAAAGCGTGTAAAATCAGTCCTGAAGTCGGGGGAGGACCTCTTCAGCGGTGTGCCTTTTTCAGTGCCTGACCTAAAGTAAAGCCTTTGTCTCCTGTGATCCCCCCCCACCAAAACACTGAACCTAACGATCAGATGGTGAAGACGCAACTGCTCTACTGTTTTGCCACAGGACAGCAAATGTAAGTACATTATCTGTCATCTTTGTAGTGCTATGAAGAATAGCACATATTAAAGGGTTAGTTCACCCAAAAATGAAAATTAAGTCATTAATTACTCACCCCCATGCTGTACCAACCCCGTAAGACCTTCGTTCGTCTTCGGAACACAAATGAAGATATTTTTGATTAAATTTGAGAGCTGTATAACTACCACATTGGCTCCTAAGGGACTGCCTCTTGACGGCCCAGAAAGTCAATGAAGAAAATGTTTAAATATCCCAAGTGACTACCGTGGCTCAACTATATGTTTATCAAGCGACGCGAATACTTTTTGTGCGAAAAAACAAAAATAACGAGTTTATTCGACTATTTCTTTTCTTCCTTGTAGGCCAGAACGAGACTTCCTTAGATTTCCACGACGCATGCGCGAGATTTGCGATCTGCTCACACCAGCTTACACTACTTCAGATCGCAATTCTCGCGCATGCGTCGTGGAAATCTAAGGAAGTCTCGTTCTGGCCTACAAGGAAGAAAAGAAATAGTCGAATAAACTCGTTATTTTTGTTTGTTTTTTCGCACAAAAAGTATTCGCGTCGCTTGATAAACATATAGTTGAGCCACGGTAGTCACTTGGGATATTTAAACATTTTCTTCATTGACTTTCTGGGCCGTCAAGAGGCAGTCCCTTAGGAGCCAATGTGGTAGTTATACAGCTCTCAAATTTAATCAAAAATATCTTCATTTGTGTTCCGAAGACGAACGAAGGTCTTACGGGGTTGGTACAGCATGGGGGTGAGTAATTAATGACTTAATTTTCATTTTTGGGTGAACTAACCCTTTAAGTAACATATTTTAGCAACAGTGTAAAAATGAATAACACAAAACAGGCACAATACCGATAAACATGAATATCTATTGGTACTACATGGATCACATGACTAAACTTACGTCATCTTTTGAAATACCTCCGGTTTCGCTGTCCACACTACAACGCGAAAACGGCGTTTTCAAATTTATCCACTTTGGAGAGCGTTTTCCAAAAGATACGTTTTCGTTGACTTAAAACGGCGTCTCAGTGTGGACGGAAGGCCAAGACGGAGAGAAAAATATACGTTTTCAAACGAAAACGTATTAGTGTGGACATGGCCAAACTCACTCAACCAGGCCCCGCTGCCTTTATCCTGCATATGAATTATTATAATGAGGAATTTTGTGACGCGTTTGTTACCGGAAGAAACTCA